CACTTCTCCTTTTCCCACCTTCCAAATGTAGATATGTCACAATTTTGTTCAAATTGATATTTTTACGTTATTATCGGGTTGGGTTATTATCATTTACTTTTTTCTATAAAATAAAAGATTCATTTTTCATTTTCACCAACAACTTTATTGATTTGTATATTTCAAGTATGTTGGCCATCTGCTGCTATTGGCTTCTGATGGGTAGAGGCCAGGGTTGCTGCTAAACATCTTCCAATGCATAAGACAGCCCCACAACAAAGACTTATTTGGCCAAAATGTCAGTAGTACTATGACACTTTTCAAAGCACTTTTGACACGTTTAGTTGGTCATAGCACCATCTCCATATACTGCACAAATCTTTGTGCTTCATTTCTGTTTTTTACTTTTCTTGAAATAATAAAGCATAATATGCTGAAAATGTTGCTTATGTTCTTCCGTTTGCAGTATTAAAATGGGTGTACAAAAATTCATCAATTTTGATGTATTTTTTAAATGTATGCCAATATGACAGTTGTCAACAGTACAGTCTAACAAAATTGTTTTGAATGAAGTTAAAGATCACTAAAAACTACTAGAGCCACAAAAGCCACAGACTTTTTGGCCAACCCAGTACATTAAATGGTTGATAATGGAGCCACACAGTACTGTAGTACTGTGTTTGAAGCTTATCCCCATGGTGCCTTTCCTCTCTAAACTCTTCCTCTGCCACACTCCTTGCTTATGCTTAGATCCAGTAACTCACCTTTTTCCTGTTTCTCAAACACCACAAGCATATTCTTGCCTTGGGCCTTTCTTTTACTTCCTTTCCTTGCTTCAGATATTTATGGGATTCACTCCCTTGTTTCATTCAGTACATCTTACCATCCCATGCACCCCCACCGCCACTTACCGCCTATCACTTTCTATCTCCTTAATTCATCTTTATTTTTCTTCACAACACTTAATATAGCCTAAGAGATTGTGTATTTGTTTATTGCCTCTCCCTGCCCATTAAAAGTTCCAAAAGAACAGAAGGGATTTTTCTGTTTACTTCTGTAGCCTGACCACCTGGAATCATTGCTGGCACATAGAAAATGTTAGGAGGTGATTGTAGAGGGAAAGAATAAATGAGTGAGTGATTGAATGTGTGTTTGAGTAAATTATTTCATTTACTTTCTTTTGTAACTTTTTGTTTCCTTGGAATTGATCATTGTTTCATTATTAAATTTGCTTAGTTGCCTATTTGCATATTATGAATTTATTCCCAGACTCTTCTACATTACTGTAAAAGGCTTCTCAGTATGGCCAAACAACATACTGAGAATTCAGTGTGGTAATTTTCATTTTTGTTTTCTCGAGAAAACATCTCTTCTGGGTCATTCTGTCTTCTGTTTCCATTCTGAATTTGCTGTGCAGGCCTGCTTCAGTACTGTCTCCCTGGTGTTTCACTTTGCCTTCATCCTGAAGGTCTTCTTCACTTCTCTTCTGTGCTGGACCCTCTGACTCCTGGAAAACAAGTCTTATTTGTTGGTTTATTCCCTGCTTTGGGAGAGTATACTCCAGGAGCCTACTGAGAAAAAGTCCAGGAAAAGTACACTTTTTGAAACCTCTTATATCTGAAAATGTCTTTCATCTCCCTTCATAATGAATTAGTTATGAATTTTCATAATAGAATTCTTTTGAAAATTATTTTTATTCTGAACCTTGAAAGTACTGTTTCACTGTTTTATAGCTTCCAGTATTTGCTATCGAAAAATACAGTACCATTGTCATTCTTTATTTTTCTTTCTTTTCTTTCTTTCACAACTGTCGCATTTTCCCTTTGTAGTGAGCAGTACTATGGTTCTGACAAATGCATAGAATTGTATATCCTCCACTGTAGTCACGATAGGAATCAATTTGATACTTTAACCTTTTGAATGAGATCTTTATCTCTCTGAAAGTTTTGAAATCCTTCTGTTTGTCTTTAATCTTTGGAGGGGATGCTCCGTCTTTAGGTGAGTCTCTATGCCAACCCTGAACCCAAAATGGAAACTCGTATCTTTGATATCTGGAGAAATTTTTCTTGGATTATTTCTTTAATTATGTCCTTCTCTATGTTCTGTTTTTGCTTTTAAGACTTCTCATTTGTCACATGTTGCATCTCTTGAACTAATTCTCTAATTTTCTTCTGTTTTATATTTGTGTTTTTGTTTTTTGAGATTTCCTGAACTTTTATTTCAACTTTGCTGACATTTTAGTGGGATTTTTGAAAAAAGCAAAGAGAAACTGATGAGTTTAATGTCTTTTATTTAACTTACAATGCTGGCTTCTAGTTTTTTATTCTATTTTAATAGCTCACATTTCTCAACTTGCAAAAATTCAAGGTAATCTCTTATATTTTTGCATGTGTCTGTGTATGTGTGAGTTTAAGTCTTCCAGAAGTTGAGGTCACCTTAGGCATGGGATGCTTAAGAAAAAATTTCTCATGCAGTTTCCTTCTATAGGGCAGATGAACTTCTTAAATTGCTGTTAACTGTTAAACATTTTAGCAGTTTTGTAAATATGTAGAACATAGCAAATCACTTTTTAAGTGTTGAGTTGTCATTTTTAATAATTCCAAATGAGATTATTTTTTCTCTAATTTTCTGTGCCATTGTTTTCCCTGGGTAGTTCCTCTCTCTAACGTCTCTTAATTGTACTACATTCAGGCAGCATTTATAAAATTGCTAAGGTATGCTGACATAATATACATAATAGTATAGCAAATCCAAATTGTGTGAGGATCTCAATTAATTTAATTCTAAAGATTCCTGTGTTTTTAGTATTGGAGTTGTTGCCTTTCTCTGCTCAGCATATCAACTCAGTTCTGCTGAGTGAATGCACTTTTTCCTTAGAGGGTCTCTAATGTGAAGCTCAAGCCTCATAAAAGCTATAACCTGGCTCTCTGTTTTTCCTAGAGTGGAGCAGTCTTACCAGAAGGTGATGGCCCTTTGGCATCAACTACATGTAAACACCAAAAGCCTTATCTCCTGGAACTATCTGAGGAAAGACCTTGACCTTATAAAGACCTGGAACCTGGAAAAGGTAACTGTGAAAGCATTACCCCAGGTACACATCCTGCTGGCAAGCTCTTTTCAGAAGGAACTTTTTTTCTTACTGTGAGACTCCTACCCACCCAATCAGAATAAAATGGAGCCAGGGAGACTGGTTCAAGGTGAGGCACCTTAGGCTCTTAGGAACTAGAAACAGCAGCCTGAATGGTTAAGGAAATTCCTGATGAAAATAAATAACATACTTGGTCTTAGCAGAGGGAGGAGGTCATAGGCTTCTTCTCACTGCAGGATAAGTATCTCTTTTGCAAAAGTATATGTAGTAGGGGAATGTGGTGAATTAATTGTTATTAAGGGTTATGTCCAAGGGGGCACAAGGGTGCTTCTGGGGTTCTAGTGATATCCTGTTTCTTAATCTAAATGCTGATTACATAGACAAGTTCAATTTGTGAAAAAGCAGCAGGTTTACAGTTAACAGTTTGCGTATTATTTTGTATCTGTGTTGAATGTCAATAAAAAGGAGAAAGAGAAATCACTATGTTCCCATTTTATTGAAATTTCTCTGGCTTTTCCTGTCTAGCTTCGGTCATCAACACCAGGGGAGTGTCACCAAGTTATGAAGACCCTTCAGGCCCACTATGAAGACTTTCTGCAGGATAGCCGTGACTCGGTGCTTTTTTCAGTGGCGGATCATCTGCGTTTGGAAGAGGAAGTGGAGGCTTGTAAAACCCACTTCCAGCACCTGATAAAATCCATGGAGAATGGTGTGTGTCTTGGGAAGAGGAGAGTACTGGTAGAATGAGAGCCCTGAAGGGTGCTGCAGGACCCTTCATATAAACTAGAGAGTACTGTCACCACTGAAACAAAAACCTTGAGAGAGAAACACATTTGGAGATGAATTCAGATCATGGAAGAAGAGGCCGTATTTTAGTCTTTATTGCTAATCTACGTATTACATATTCTTGTGGAAATAGCATGTTTGGGTCCTAAACATCATTATGTAATGCAGGGAATTTAGGTTTCCCACATAAGGCCTTGCTTTCATTGGTAGAATATCGATCACATCTGCTGGAACCACTGGTACCCTCCCCTTGAGGGTACATCTGTTGTTCCCAGGTTTGCTGATCTCTGGTGTGGTGCTTAATGGTCTTCTGTGCTTGTGCATTCACAGAGGACAAGGAGGAAACTGTGGCCAAGATGTACATTTCAGAGCTGAAGAATATCCGACTACGCCTGGAGGAGTGTGAACAGAGGCTAGTCAAACAAATTCAGACCCCGGCCAGCTCTAGAAGTGACAAAGATGCCCGGCAGGACAGTGCATTAAGGATTGCAGAGCAAGAGGTAAGTCCTAAGAGCAAGGTAGGTGTTGGTTGCACAGTAAACGCTTTCAGAATGAATTGGGTGGCAAGAGAGTATGGATCCTAAGAAATAAGGAAATAGATTTATGGCAATCCTACTTCTCTATAGCCTGAAAGTGCCTTTTATCCGTTGAATATTGATTAGTTTCCTACACTATTGGGAAAGCAAACAGACTGGAAAATTGCTCTAAATGCTGCATTTCAGCTATATATTTGAAGACTGCTTAGTAGAGATTCCATTCTTTGCTTTATCCCTTATAAGTAATTACTTTCTATTACATGATTATTGTCAGTCATGTGACTCAAAAATATTAAGGAAAGAATCAGATTCTACTCTGGGTTCTAATGCACTTTCTCTGTAACTGAGCAAATTAACTTTTACCTTTAGTTTCCTTTCTTATAAAAGGGAGATAATATGTGAGTCACAGAACTGTTTTAAAAATTAAGTGATATAGTACATATAATGAGCTTTCTGGAAAAGTAAAATGTTATAAAAATGTAGGGTTGTATTCTTGAAGTAAAAGCAGCAAGTACTTGCTTTATTATGTTGCTTTATTTGGTTGGAGTGTTACTAGAACATTTCTACTTGGGATGGTATGAGAGAGCTCTGTGAGGACTATTATATTTGGTGCTTGTTTTAGCAATCCATATACTAAAATTGGAATAATACAGACACTAGCATGGCCCCTATGCAAAGATGACACACGAATTTGTGAAGCATTCCATATTTTTATTGGCCTGTTTGCTCCACGATCTTACTGTCACAGAACGTTTACCATTTAATAAAAATTTACCATCAAAGAAGAATAATAGATTTGATCTGGGAGCTTAAAGGGAATGGAAATAAATGGCCAATGAGAGGAAGAAGTGTTTTTTCCTTCTTACCATCCTTAATTATCCTTAAGCTTGAGGAGGAGATTGAGAGGACAGTGTAATTTTCACAGACCAAGAGGGATCTAATATGCTTGTATGAATCATATCATATTAACCTGTAATTCTCATGTTGAAGCATTTTATTTTTCTGTAGCCATCAAAAAGGATAATATTCAGCTCTTCTGAGAAAACCTTCCTTTTTTTTTCACTTTTTATTTTGAAATAATTTCAGATATACAGAAGTTTTTATTCTTTACCTAGATTTATCCTTCACCTAGATTCCCCAAATGTTAACTTTTTTATATTTACATTATCATTTTCTTCTACATATGTATATATACATAATAATAATCTTTTTTTCTTGAGAGTAACTTCCAGAAATAATGTTCCTTTACCCCTGAATACTTCAGCATGCACTTCCAAAAACAAGGATAGTCTTTTTACATATCCACAGGACACTGATTAAAACTAAGAAATGAATATTGATATGACTTTATTAAAGTTTTATCAGTTAATCCTAATAATTCTTTTTCAGGATAACACCCCAACTCACTCTGTCCCCCTTGCAAAAAAAAAAAAAAGTAATTTTGGTATAGGATTCAATCCAGTATCACACATTGCGATTAGGTACTGTGTATTTTGAGATTTCTTTAACCTGAAACAGTTTTTTGATTTTTCATCATCTTTCATGAGCTTAACATTATTGAAGAGTATAGGACATTTATTTTGTAGGATGTCCCTCTATTTGTGTTTATCTGAGGCTTCCTCATGATTAGAAATAGCTTACACATTTTTGGCAGGAATACCACAGAAGTGATATTGTGTCCTTGGTGAATAATATCAGGAGGCATGTGATGCTGATTTGTCCCATTACTGGTGATAACTTTTATCACTTGTTGCTATTTTCCCCTTGTAATTACTAATTATTTTGTGGGAAGATACTTTGAGGCTATGTAAATATCCTGTTTTACCAACTAGTTTTAGCATCTGTTGTTGACTCTTGAATGAGTAATTATGACTGTTGCCAGAAGGGGATTTTCTAATTCTGTTATTTCTTTTACATTTTTTAATTTCTGTTTTATCAAATGGAAAGAGCTTGCCTCCCTCTTCTCCTTTCTTCTTCTTTATGTCACTATAAACTGATGAATTCTTATTTTATTCAATGGTTTGTAATTTGCTACTCTATTTTGGATGTTCAAAATATTCCAGATTTAGCCACTGGAAACCCCTTCAAGCTGGCTCCTATGTCATTTCAACATGTTATCATTATTCTTTGAGTGCTTTACTATTTCTCAACAAATATTCTAGGTTCATCTTGCCCTAGCCAGCCTCAGCCCTGGAGTTGGTCATTTCTCCAAGGAGTCCTACTTCCTTTAGGTGGAGATTGTTATTCAGAAACCACAAAAGATCTGGGTGCTGAGTATGCTCATTGTCTAGGACTACTCAGCAAATTGAGCTAGAAAAAGACATACTTACAAACACATATGCCATTTATTTATAAATATTTTTGTTGTTAGCCTGAAGGTATGTCAATAGTCCAGATACTTTGTTCAGAAATTACTTGTATGTATTCTTCCCTTATTATCATCCCTTTAGTGCTGTTTCAGAGTTTATTCAATCACTCTTTTATACATGGCTTTAGGTTGCTTCCAATAATTTGCTATAATTCTATCTCCATCTTTATTATATGTCTTGTTCCTGACAGCGTACCCAGGATGATTTACAGCACCTGAGGTCGGACTTGGAAGCTGTTTCTATGAAATGCAAGAGCTTTCTCCATCAGTCCCCATCTGGTTCAAGTGTTTCAACTCTGCACTCAGAACTCAATCTGCTGGTGGAGAAAATGGACCATGTATATGGTCTCTCCGCTGTCTATCTGAATAAGTGAGTGAGCTGAGAATTTGGGTCTAAATGGAAGTATTTTCCATTGGGATGAGGAGGAGAAGTACCTGGAGTGTTTCATAAACAATCCAGAGAAACTAGATCTTGAAGACCATGTATCCATAACAAGAGACCATGGCTTTAGTTTCAAGTATGGATTGGGTTCTCATTTGGGTTCCACTGAACAAATGCCAGTGGTGGGGTTGATTTGCAGTGTTAGGACTCTTTTATATCTCATTTCTGTTTGATTAGATACCTCTAAAAAAAAAGAAAGAGAAAGGGATACTGAAGAGTAAAAAGAAAAAATTTAAGTAAACTAAATACAGGTTTTTGAAGTTATTCCCTCTAACTACTCATCTTGTTAGCCTGAAGGTACAGGCTAACATGACCTTGAGGAGAAACATCTTAGGTGATTCATAGTGTTGAGTGGGTTTCTGGCTTTCCACCTTTTCTCCCAAAAGTCTAGTACATGTGTGCATGTCTAGTGCCACCTATAACTTTACTTTGCATTGGTTTAAGTTGGCACCACATGTACCATGCTTCCTTATTTTTATGAAACTCTGTCATCTTAGGAATGATGAAATTGATTTTGGCAGTTGTGTTTTATGAACCTCTTCTTGGCTCCAGGTCTGTACCCCAACTCTTAAAATGCATACGCTAATTAAAGTGATTTTATCCTCACAGGCTCAAGACAATCGATGTTATAGTGCGTAGTATTCAGGATGCTGAACTCTTGGTCAAAGGTTATGAGATCAAGCTGAGCCAAGAAGAAGCAGTACCAGCAGATCTCTCAGCTCTGGAGTCCCATCGCTCTACATTACGGGTTGGTTGCTCTAGGCTTCTTAGGAAGTTGTCTTACTACAGGGGTGAGCCAAAGTAGGTTTATGGTATGAGTACATGAAACACAGAGTTTGTTCTTATATTACTTATTAATTATTATATCATTTTACTTGTATTACAATTGTAAGTCTACTTTTTTCCCCTTCCCCGCCACATCTCCCATCCCCAGTGTATCAAATGTTTTGAGTTAGTGGAGAAATACTGTTTTGGATGGTGTGACATTGGTTTTAAGTTTGTATTTGAACTAAGCAGATGATCATATTTAATATATTTTAATATGAACTCAAAGAAGAAGGGACTAAGAAAAATGTCTAGCTAGAAGGGAGATAAAGGACTATGCTTTTCTATTTATCTTCTCCCTTTTCTCCCCAGTAAAATCATAGTTTAATTGGATACCATCAGCGGTTTTGCTGTATGTTTGTAAATCACTTAGCTGTTATTTCATTTGGTTTTCCCAAGGAACTCTGTGATGTGGATAGGGAAGGGATTTTAATCTCCATTTACAGATGAGAAAACTGAGTCAGATTGGCTAAATGACTTAACTTGATTTCATAGTTTATAAGTGATAGAGCCTGGTTTCAAACACAAGTTCTTTACACATTTCTTTTTATTGTACTGCCAGCCCATGGTGCATGACTGAGGAGGCATTTCTGGCACAACGTTATAGGGTCTAGCCTCTGAATCACAGATATAATGTGGAGCCAGCTGTAAACCACGCCTTGTTGTCTATCTTAGTCTGAGTCTTTTTTAATTCTTAGCATGGAATATTTTTAATCTTGTGTTGCTGTGCTTGTGTTTTATAGCACTGGCTTAGTGATGTGAAGGAAAAGAATTCAGTATTTTCAGTCCTGGATGAGGAAATTGCCAAGGCCAAGGTAGCAGCAGAGCAGCTGAGTCGTCTGACCCCAGAACGAAACCTGGATTTGGAGCGCTGTCAGGAAAAAGGCTCCCAGCTACAGGAGCGTTGGAATCGGGTCATTGCCCAGCTTGAGACACGGTGAGTGGTAGCCCTACCTTTTTTTGACCATGAGGGTTCAGGGACTAGGTTTTAAACAAAAATAGAGTTATATCTGTGTATTCTTATTTAAAGGCAGGAATTGATAGGGAGAGTTAGAAATTGAATGACATTATGAATCCTGGACAAGATAAGTGACAGGAAGTTGGGAACAACAACCCCAAAGCAGACTCGAGTCTTGCTTTTGAGACAACAGTGATGATTCTGTTAAGTAGTACCTCTCCCTGTGTCCCAGGCCTTACCTGGTTAAGTCATGGTGACAATGGGGTCTTGGAATATAGACTGGAAGGGTGACCTGGTGATCTGTCAAGGACAGAACCTGGTTTTCAGGTCTGGTTTTACTAGCTTTGAATCTGAATATGAACCATTTTCATAGTGGGCCTTTGCAGGATTTCTTGCTTCCTTTCGTTTGTTTAACTCAGTGATTTTTATCTGTGTAACTTGAGATCCTACTTCTGATGACTGCTTTGAATAGGAAAGATAGAACACTCCCTATCTGAAGCCAGGCTGGCTAGGCAAAGATGCGGGGAGGGGAGTTACATAACAATTCATGTAAATTTGGATTGATTCTCTATAATTGATTTACCATCCCAAGACTGGCTAGGCTAACAAAAGTGATATAAGAAACTATTACTGAAATTAACAGTAAATATCACCCACTGTACCCCCACTGAAATTACAGTGATTCATAAATCATAGCTAGGGTAATCTGACAGATACTCTGTCATCAGGGGACAGAAGTGTACAGCCAGTACTACCTTATTGGCAACCCTAGTAATCCTTGGCAATCTTAAGTAAAAAATTTGATAAGGATTATCATGGGATGCCAGGCCCTAGGCAGTTTCCAGGGCAGCAGGGCACAAACTAGTTTCAAATGACCTTTTACGCTATAGAGCATGGGGTACATACATAGCTCTCAACGTGTTGCTGTTCCTTCCAAACGATGTATCCTCTGCGATCAAGCTCAATTGAAGACATAGGCTAAGGAGGGAATTGTCTCATTTACTTTATTTTATTGACACCAAGATATTTGATAGCAATTTTTCTCTGTTCCTCCAGCCAATCTGAACTAGAAAGTATCCAGGAAGTTTTGGGAGATTACCGAGCCTGCCATGGAACTCTC